AGGTTTATACTTCATAAGTGTATTCATGGTGACAAGACCATTAATTGGTACATGTATAACTATTTTTGACCTTTCCACCTTGGCCTTTGGGTTTAACCCACTTGGTAAAAAAATTAACATTGTCAGTGACTTTTGAACAGTAATAACTATAAGAACTCTCATATTTCACAGGTATATTCCTTGGGAAAGGACCTAATAAATTTTCATGAATCAATTCAGTACGTGAATTATATGTGCAAGACAGCTGCTGGCTACTTTACAAGAGTTAAAATAAATAAAAGAGAGGGTTTACTCTTTTAAATTTTTAATTAATTAAAACAAGATGTGTTTGTGAAAATTAAACCCCGCAGCAACAAAAATTCGAAAAAAAGCATAAAGGTTAAAGTCAAGGTCACAAGGTCAATGTCCTTGGTGCCATTTGAAAGCACTTAATTAGTGGAGTGTGCATATATCCAAAAATGACGTCTCCTTCTTCTATGATTCAAAAGTAATGGCAAAAGTTTGAAGAAAAAAACTAATTTTAGCATAAAGGTTACAGACAAGGTCAACAAAGTCATTTACCTTGGTTTCATTTTAAAAAAATTCAATCAGTGGAGTATGCATTCCAAACATGAAGTCTCTATTGCTTATGGTTCAAAAGTAATTGCAAAAGTTCAATAAGGATTTTTTTCACATAGGTCACAGTCAAGGTCACAAGGTCATTAACCTTGTTGTCATTTAAAAATAAATTATTGGAGCATGCATAAGTAATATGAAGTCTCTATCTCTCATGGTTCAAAAGTTATGGCAAAGGTTAACGTTGACAACGGACAGACATGACAAAAACAATATACACCCTGAATCCATCAATTCGGTCACATAAAAATATATGACTTATGAAAAGTTATCTTAATACTACAGTAGTAGTAACAATGAATAAGAATTCAGCCAAGTAAGAAATCAGTCGTTGACAGGAGTGCTAATTTAAATCTTCAGTACACATAGACCAGGAAGTAAAATATAACGCAAGTAAGTGGGTCATGTGATACCCATACAGAGATTGTACAAGTATTTGGCTGACAAGACAGACGCCATTAAATTTTGCAGGTAACACGTAATTGGGTCATGTAATTACCTGGCATACAGAGATTGTACTTGGATCTGGCCGACAATACAGACCCTGCAGGTAACATTCATGGATGAATTCATTTGATAATTCTTGTTTATAACAATAACTAAAGATAATTTTTAAAAACAACATGGACAAAATTTGCTCTTTCATTATTTTGATAGTAAATTGAACGTCATGTACTAGTCTATAAATTATATTTAGGTGAATTCTATTTAAATACCATTAAGACTCTACATACCCATAAACAAGGATTATTTAAAGCTTAAAACTCGACTTTTCTGGTACTGTGGTTTCATTAATTTCATTGGCATCAATTTTTGTGGATTTTGTAAAACAGACGTTTTTGTAATTTTGTGGACAAAAGCATTGCCTATACAAAGGAATGTCACACTTCATAATTCAACCATCATTTGAATTTGTGGATTTGTTCAAGAACAAAATCCACGAAAATTGAGTTCAACGAATATTGATTAAACCACAGTACTTGTGTTTCAGTACTTTAGGATGTATGGATTAATCTTATTATTAAAATAATATATTAAGGGAAAAAAATGCCGGTAGACCTTGGAAAATCTTTGAGATGATGTGAAGAGTATGCTATGAAGCATATCATGTAACTCTCTCAACTGTGGGTAGAACAGAGGCATAGTAGCACACATAATGTAAATATGTAACATAAAAAGAGAAATTTTTTTCAGATAAAAACACTAAAACCTGATTTGGTTTCTTTTGTTGGTGTTACACTTTTATCTTCATTACAGACATCCAAACAAAAAGATTGATTGAATTTGTATGTTGTTTAATGTCCCTCTCAAGAATTTTTCACTTATATGGAAATGCCACCACTTGCCGATTGAGAGCTACGAATTTTGTCCTAAACTCAACACTCATGCAGGGCTATTGAGCAGTGAAGATCTTTTTTGAGCCAGTACCTACTGTGATGAGGGACCTCTATTTATTTGCAGTCTCACCCAAAGGGCTGGTCTCCACATCCCCTAGTGGGATTTGAACCAGCGATGTAAGGGTTGACTCCTTACTTCGTGACTCGAGATGTTCTAGGCATACTCTAAAACCTGGCCTGGCCCTTTTGGCCTGGCCTGGCCTCTAAGTTGGCCTGGCCTCTATTTAGGCCTCTAATTTGGCTTCAAACCAAATTTTGGCCTGGCCTCAAAAGTTGGCCTGGCCTCAAATTTGGCCTCTGTAAAAATTTTTGGCCTCAATTTTGGCCTCCCTCAAAAATATTTTCTTTTTCTGAATTTGATTGATTTTATTGATTTTTTATTGGTTTCATTTTTTTTTCACAGATTAAGCAGGTGATTAATATATTTCTGTTGATATGTAAATGTGAACATTAAAATAATTATACACTACTACCAATCTGATTTATTTTTATTGATTTTCTATTGATGTGTTGCAATTCTGAAGACTATAACACAGAGCATATAATTTTACTTTCAAAAAGACACTCTCTTAATGATTTATTAAATGTGCCTTTATTTTTTTAAATTTCCATGGTAGGAATGATAATTTTTACAGAGTAAAAAACATTTACAAAATCAGGGAGGGGGCTAAAAAGGCTGCGCTGTGCCAATCCTATCACCATAACACCGGTGAATAAAATATTGTTTAAATAAAAAAAATATTTAGAAACATCACAATTAAATTATGAAGACAACAAAGAAATGCAGATGAGTAGTAATTAATTTAAGAACTAAAAAGAATTTTAAATTCCCGTTTTAAGTATTACTTGTTTAATAATTTTTTTTAACTGTCTTTATTTAGAATTAAAAAAATCTGTTTGATGATGTTGATACTTTTACAAATGATAGAAAAAGAGTCAATACTATGATATGCAAGTAACTGACCACATTTTATATGATAGGGTTCTAATGGTGAATAGGATGCAATTGTTTTACAGCACAAATGTTAATAATCTATCATCAAACTCAACTTTTGTTTTGATAATTGTAGGTAGTGAAAGTTGTAGCAGCTAGGAAATTCTTTATAAATCATGGGTGGCTTAACAGCCTATGCACATATACATGTCATTACTGATTAACTTCAACCTTTAAACTCCCTGTCAAGAACCGTGCTGCAGAATTTTTTGTCATTTGATATCCAATTACAGTGTTACGGCACACCAGGAACAGAAAGTTATAAATTATCTGATAATGTTATTTATCTTAATTTTTTTTAAATACCAACTGTTCTTAGATTAAAGTGAACATGAATTTTTAACAGAGTAATCAAATAAGTGTAATATAAATATTTTGGTATCTGTCTTGGTATATTTATTTGAGAAAAAAAATCTTAGGTGCTTGTATTCATATATCACACAGATGATGCAGGCATAACAGTAACACAACATCCACAGTGTGTGAAAGATGATGATTCATCTACTTAACAAGTGGGAATTTTTCAAAGCTATTAATGACATTTGACATGAATTATTACTATAGTTTTTCTTTAATGTTCACAATTTGGAAAACACAAAATAAACTCTGAAACTTTTTTCTAAATAATTATAAGCAAGAGTATCGGTAGCGTGTCTGTATGAAATACCTGTAAATAATAAAATAAATAACTTGATCAATTGATAATCAATAAAATAATCCTTGTTGGTGGTAGTACATGATTATTTTTAATGTTCACATTCACATATCAACAAAAATATATTAATCACCTGCTTAATCTGTGAAAAAAAATGAAACCAATAAAAAATCAATAAAATCAAATCAAAAAGAAAATATTTTTGAGTGAGGCCAAAATTAAGGCCAAAAATTTTTACAGAGGCCAAATTTGAGGCCAGGCCAACTTTTGAGGCCAGGCCAAAATTTGGTTTGAAGCCAAATTAGAGGCCAAAATAGAGGCCAGGCCAACTTAGAGGCCAGGCCAGGCCAAAGGGGCCAGGCCAGGTTTTAGAGTATGCCGATGTTCTAACCACTATTCCATGCGGGCAGTATTGATGATATTAACTTATTCTTTATTTTTTCTTTCTTACATTAAATAAAATATATACCGTAAATCTGGAAATTTTTGCTGTGGATAAATTTTTAGCAAATTTGCGAATTCATTGCATTCGCAAAAATATTTTTCTTAAAAATAAATCACCATTAACCAAATTTTGAAGAGTAAAAATTAATCAACAGAATTTTGACCCAAATTCGAAAAATAAAATCGACGTAAAAATTTCCAAATTTACGGTATTCAAGATTTAAATTGTTATTCTATTCATCTATTTTAAAGTTAATGCATTAAATATCATAAAGTAACAAGAATTATATTGTTTACCTAATAAAACCGTCTATCTATATTCATCTGTGAAAAGGTGAATAATTCAATTATTTTTAAGTTTGAAAAATATAAAAACTACAAACTCTTAACTCTTGATTCCCGCCTACATTTTGCACCCATTAAATTCAATATTAATGGCAATTTGGCCATTAAATCTTTGTTTAACACAAAGAACACTTCTATGGTAATTGAATCATCATTTTAATTCCATTAAATTATCATTAATTATCATTAATTCCAGGTCTTTTGAAAAGGGGGGTAGACGATATTTTCTTTTGAAAAAAACTTTCAAGAATCAACATATTTTTAAATAGTCTTAAACATGATAAAATATATCTCATACCTTCTCCTATGTCTTCCGCAAATAAATAAAACATATAAATTAATGAAATACAATTTTTTTAAGTTGTCGATAGCTTTAAAATTGTTGAAAAATCAGCATTTTTTTGTTTATTGTCTAAAAAAATCTCTCCCCCCCTCCCCCCCGTGAAACACAAAAAGCTTTGGCAAAAATTTGTAAAACAACAGTCCATATTACCTATATAAAGGAATTTTTGTTATTGATCACTATAACAAATGCCTTTTTTCATGCTAGGTTTACTTAAATCATGGACCCCTGACCAGTGCCCAGGACGTGATGCGATGTGACCTGTGTGAGACCGCTGTGGTAGAAATGCATTGTGATACGTGTCTTATCAACCTGTGTAAGGCATGTGTGGGGGAACACATGATATCTGATGAATCCAAAAAACACGAAAATTGTTAAATTTTCCCTGAGAAAAACTACCCCCCTCTACCCTGCATGCATATCTCATGTCAAAGAACGATGTGAAATGTACTGTAAGCTAAATGTGATATTCCTGTGTGTGTCACCTGCCTTGCTTCTGATCAACATCTAGGTCATAAATTATTGAAAACTGTACAAGTCTTAGATAACAAAAAAGAAAAGATCACAAAAGAACTGGCTGAATTAAATGAGACAATTTATCCAACCTACCAGGACATTGCCTCTGATGTACAAAACAAAATGAGTCAATTAAAAAAGGAATATGGGGATCTCTCAACAGCCATAACAAAACATGGAGAGGACTGGCACAGAGAAATTGACAAACTTGTCAAGAAACTTAAAGCTGAAGTTGATGAGATTAAAAACACACAGCTACAAACTTTACAGAAAAATCTGGATGAACTAAAGAAGACAATGTCTGACATCAAGGATAAAATTTGATTCATTTAACACTGTTATAGACTCCAATGAAATTTCAAGATTTTAAATTTGCATCTGTTAATATTACAAGATATAAAAATATCCCAGAGAAAATTTTGCCATATTTGCCAAAATTCACACAAGGCAGAATCCAAAGAAAAGAACTCGGCAAATTGTTTGGCACCTTATCATCAAGTTCTTTAAATTCAGATGAACATGGCTACAGCATGAAGACAACACACAAATCACCAGAAGCTGGATCCTCTCCTCCAGTCAAACAGCTGCTTGATGAACCAGAGACTGTCACCACCATGAAGACTGAGTGTAGCCTTTACCATGCAGCCTGTCTGAATGATGAAGAAATCTGGACAAGTGGAGATGACAGCATCATGAAACTCTTCAGTTTCAATCAGGGATCACTACTTAAGTCAATCAGAACCAAGTCAGGGAACAGACCATATGACATAGCAGTGACAAAATGTAGAGATTTAATTTATACTGATTACATTGATAGTACTGTGAACATTGTGAAGAATGAGAAGATGAGGAGGTGATCAGACTACAGAACTGGATACCTAAAGGTGTCTGTAGTACCTCCTGGTGACCTCCTGGTTATCATGATCAGTGATGATAGAAAACAAACAAAAGTTGTGTTTCTCTGGCTCCACAGAGAAACAAAGCATTCAGTTTGATGATCAAGGTAAACCTCTTTATTCATCTGATTCTGATTACATTAGTGAGAACAGGAACCTGGATATCTGTGTGTCTGACTATCGAGCTCAAGCAGTAGTGGTGGTCAATCAGGTCGGGAAACTGAGAGTCAGGTACACTGGGCATACTCCTGCTCCAAAGAACAAACCATTTCATCCACGAGGAATCACCACAGACAGTCAGAGTCACATCCTTACAGCTGATAATAACAATGACTGTGTCCACATCATAGACCAGGATGGACAGTTCCTCCGGTACATAGAATGTGGACTTAATTAACCATAGGACTTGTACAGACACATATGACAATCTGTTTGTTGCTGAATGTCAAAGATCAAGTGAAAAAAATAAAATTTCTGCAGTGAAAAAAGTTATTACAGTTTGATCTCTCTATGGACACAACATTTCACAGAAAGCTATACTTTCAAATAGACCATATAAAAATCTTTAAAAACATACGGTGTGTTTTTTCTTATACACATTATGTGATGTCAAAGTGGACAAGAAAATAATTCTATAAATTTAAAAAATGTAACAATGAATGAAAAACCTTAAATTGTCAAAAAGAACTAACAGTAACTGACCCATGTGGTTTTATCTCACAGTTACTTCTTTATAGTGGATATTAGTCATTGTATTCCAAACATGATACCAAAGAAACAAATCATTTGCATTTGTAAATTTGTAAACATGGAAGATCAAGTAGATTAAAAATCATTAAGGTTGATAAATCAATTATTGTAATAAAAGATAATACAACACATTTTTTTTATTTCAATGCAAACTATTTGTGAAATTACTTATATTATTTCAGATGACAAGTGAATGTAAGAGACTGAATGTATCTTTCAGTAAAAAATAAAGATGTCCTTTGATTAAACCAGCAATCACAATACATGTAATAACTCTTGCACACAGGTGTAACACTGTTAAAAAAAGAAGTATCTTACCCAATGATGGAAGGCAAACCATTGATGTGTTTGTTTTTAAAAACTGTTGTCCATATGGGAGCTTTATCAAATGTATGTCAAACCCAATCAAGACTATAGAATGAAAAATGCTAATACCAAACAAAATTCTTGACAAGGACAACACTAATGTAATATAAACCCCTACCAACAAATTATGGTGAAGTTTTTATGCTTTTCAAAAATAGGTCAAACTCTAAGGTCAAAAAATGTTGGTAGTCAAAGAAAGGTCTGGTCATGAAAAATATGCATGTGAAAAAAGAAAAGCCTAGCACACACTTTCAAATTAAAAGTAATCAAACTCCAAGGTAAAGGTCATGAGGTAAAAAATGTTGGTACAAATAAAGTCTTGGTATAAGGAATAGACATAAATATTATATAATTTCCTTTTTTCTGAGTGATACATACTGACTGCACTCTCTCTCTCCCTCATCTCTGGTCCACAAACAGCTTGGTTTTCTTCGGGACGTTGAGACGATTTTGAGCGGCGGGGACCCCCAGACAGATCCTTCTCCTCAAACGTGGCATTCCTCTTTAGAATCTTAATCATCAACCCACACCTAAAGAAAAAGGAATCAATCATATAAAAAAGTCAAACTTGACTTCAATACAGAAAAACAGAAAAATAAAAAAAAAGTTTTTTGGAGAATAAAATTCCATGGAGCACTTTAAGAAGCTACCTGATGAGTGAAGTCTCATTAAGAGAAAAATTGATATTAAATCAAAATATTTAATGGTGTACCTCTTAACTCAGTATGTTGTATTTATTATAGTGGACACTTAAGTAAATATATAAATATATATTTAATCTAAAGTAATTTTCATAAAAGCAGAGTTTATTTAAGAGTGAACTTTTTATAGTGTTGCCATAGCAGTTTGCAGTGCAAATGGTTTTTGACTCATTCGTTACGCCTGTAATTTCATACCTACCCTGGTACTTTACATACTCAATAGCTACCAACCTTCAGGGGCAAGGAGTTTCCCCCCCCCCGGAAACCCCTTTTTTTGGGTTTTTCCCCCG